GAAAAGAAGGGTCGTGGTGTTGTCAGGTAGGATGGTCGAAAGGAAAGAATGTCTGTCTTTGATGGATGGAGTTGGAGGTGCGCAGCGGTCCTGTGAAAGCCAGATGGTCTTTGGTGGAGGGACAGCCTCGTTGGCTGGCGCTAACAGTTTCAACAATAGCAAGACATTGTGGAGAGGAAACGGTACCGTTGCGGCGGCTGTGCTGGGGAGGGGTGACTCGGTGCCTTTTCCGACAGGGCCCGTACTCTTTTTCTAGGCCTGCCAGGGCGTTGTAACTTGCGCTGGAGAGCAGGGGAATCAACCACCTTCCACCACAGTGGAGGTCATCTTTTACTGCCCTGAGTACCTTGGGAACTGGCGCATCCAGACTAAACAGCGGTTCGGGCACTGGAACTGGCGGGCAGTGCCCTGCTTCTCGTCCACGGCGGTCCACCTCAAGACACCGGCCCCGAGTTTTGGGCGGCGACTTGCACTGACGGAGATGATCCACGTCCTTGGCCTGACAACTCACATCATGCAGCGCCACAACCAATATAACTTGGCTTATGAATGCCCACTTTAGGCAGTTGAATTGTTTATTTCCTTCGATGAGAGCATCCGTCCCGAAAGTAAGATACATTGTTTGTTACTTGAGGCCTGCCGAAGAACCGTACACCGGAAGCTGATGAACATGATGTAGTCAGGCACCTATTCGCCTGGTTGCAAGTTAGTCAGATTCCTTGATTACGTAGCTGCCCACTTGCCCAGGTGGTGTCAAGCCTCGAGAGTTCCCTTCCCATGCTTCACCCAATTCAAAGAGCAGTTCAGCCTCAAATGGCACGCGCCACACATGCTCCACCGCCATCGTCATCGTGGATACGTACCTGCTCTGGGGGGAACGGGAACGAGCTGAGATGGGCACCTGGCCTTGCCAAAATCCCCCAAATGCCCCATATTAATAATCCCCTGTTCCTTTGGGTTTAGCGCGGAGACCTCCGTTCGTCACAGGGCCGTGTTCCAAGCGGAGCAGCTACGAGTCCGCGACGACAGCAACCTGCCCGAAGATGCTAGAGTTAGACTCCTCCAACCCAAGGCAGCGACTCTAAATCCACCGTCCGACACATTCCAACCCCTGCTCATTCGTACTAAGCCAACGTAACCCAGCAAACATCGACTGTGCTCGACACTATTGCCCGCAGCTGCCCACGCCTCCACTGCTTTAGCCTATGCCGACTACGCCTAAGCCTGCTGCATCTCCAACTAGGCCTTACCTTACTGTGTACGCACACCCGACCCTGAGGCTGCTGCATCTGGCCAACCATTAGAAACACACAAGCTTTCTTCTTTGCCTTCCATCCACATCTCCTACATACCCACGCGCAACCCATCCGATCCGCTTTACGTACGACGACAAAGACGACGACAGCCTCGCGATTGCGCGCCCACTTCTCTCAGCTAGGTAAACCATCCCCGACGATCGATAGACGCCTGTTTGTTCTAGCTCCCCGCCCGACACAACATTTCCAAGCCTTCAAAATGATGGGCTGGTGGTCCAGCTCGGCCAACACGGCCTTGGACGAGCAAATTGAGAAAGCCACAGGCAGCAGCTTGTACGACCCTCTGTCATCCCTCGTAATGCTCTTCTGACCTTGATACAGGGAGGATATCGCCCTGAATCTCGAGATCTCTGATGTCATCAGATCAAAGACCGTTCAACCCAAGGAGGCCATGCGCTCCTTGAAGAGGCGCATCGGCAACAAGAACCCTAACACCCAGTTGAGCGCACTGAATGTAGGTCTTCGTTGCTGCCTGATCACTCGTGACTGGACTAACCCTACCCGCAGCTCACCGACACGTGTGTAAAGAATGGAGGCACTCACTTCCTCGCCGAAATCGCCTCGAGGGAGTTCATGGACAACCTGACCTCTCTACTCCAAGCTGTCGGGCCCGCCGCTGTCAACCACGAAGTGAAGCAGAAGATCCTCGAGTTGATACAATCTTGGGCCGCCGCCACCGAAGGACGTCTTGAATTGGGATACATTGGGGAGGTCTACAAGACATTGCAGCGGGAAGGTCACAACTTTCCTCCCAGGATCAGTGTCTCCAGCAGCATGATCGACAGCAGCGCGGTAGGTTCTAGTTCACGGCTGTAAATCACCTATCCTTCCGACCCAAGCTGACATCCTTCTCAAAGCCCCCCGAGTGGGTAGATTCAGACGTCTGCATGCGATGCCGAACCGCCTTTACCTTCACGAACCGAAAGCATCACTGCCGAAACTGCGGCAACTGCTTCGATCAACAATGCTCAGCCAAGTCGCTACCCCTCCCCCACCTCGGCATTATGCAGCCCGTCCGCGTCGACGACGGCTGCTATGCGAAACTCATGGATCGGTCGGCCAAGGGAGGTACCGCACCACCCTCGCCGCTGCCGCAAGACCGATCTCCCACCTATCCCTACAAGACTCGAAGCACATCGGCCATGCAACCCCGTAACGCCCGCGTCGACGACGCATTCGACGAAGACTTGAAGAAGGCGCTAGCTATGAGCTTGGAGGAGGTGAAAGGCTACTCTCAGGGCTACGTTGCACCTACGGCCAATGGTCCTTCGGGTCCAAAGGTTAACGGAAGCTCTGCGCCTGCAGCGTCTTCCGGCGCGGAAGAGGAAGACGACGACCTCAAGGCTGCCATTGCCGCTTCGCTAGCTGATATGGAGGAGCAGAAGCAGAGACATGCGGCAGTCTTGAAGGAGCACACCTCCAGTGCTGGGCCGAACCCTACGCAACAGTTTTCCCTGCCCAAGAATGACTACGAGCTTACACCGGTTGAGGCTGAGAACATCAACCTCTTTGCAACTCTCGTCGACCGCCTGCAAACACAACCCCCAGGCACCATCCTGCGTGAGCCACAAATCCAAGAACTTTACGATAGCATCGGCACACTGCGACCTAAGCTTGCCCGTACGTACGGCGAGACTATGAGCAAGCATGGTGAGTCACCCCGAAACCCCAAACGTTCCTCTTCTAACACGGTTTCAAGATACGCTACTCGATCTGCATGCTAAACTCTCCACCGTTGTCCGCTATTACGACAGAATGCTGGAAGAGCGCCTGTCCAAGGCATACAGCCAGCACGCTATCGGAGGAGGATATAACCTTCCCCCGCGCCAGTCTGGCGCTTATCCTACACTGCAAGGCAGTGCACCTGGGGGTGCCGGTCCGGCCGAGAACTTCTATACCGGATTACAACAGATGGACTACGGTCAGGCACCACCACCCCAAGCCTACGCTCAGCACCCGCAGCACACTCCACAACCTCAATACGCGACTTTTGACAAGCGCGCTTCTATGGCTGGTCCGCCGGGAGGACCGTACCCTGGCCAGGAGCCTCAAAGGGCGGATAGCTGGAGAAGCGGAGCTGGTCCCGTACCTGACGGCCAATACGCGCCTCAGCAGCCCTATGCTCCGAGCGAGCCTCCCCAAGCAAATCACCAGAACCAGCCAGGTCAGCCCCCGGGCACACCCTCGACGGATCCTAATGCTTCTTACTACTTCCATCCTCAGCAGCCCAGCGCACCTCCTTCTGCTCCGCCGAATGCGGATCCCAACCCGTCCCCTTACCCGAATCTTCAGCAGCCAGTGCAATACCGACAGTCCATGCCACCCCAACAAACACCTACCCAAACACCTGCTCAGCCGGCACAGCCCACGCAGCAACAGGTTCCGCCCCAGCAGCAAAGCTACTGGCAGCCGTCAGTACCGCAGCAATCGGCGCACCCCCAACAGCATTGGCAAGGCCAGTACACCAGTGGATATACCCAGGAATCATTCCCGTCTGCTCCGCAAAACGCGCCTAAGCAGCCGGCAGTGGAGGAGAGTCTAATTGATCTTTGAAAGAGAGGAAAGTAATCAGGAAGCATGCAGGCCATCGGTACTCGGCGTTTAAGGGTCAGGGAGAGCCCAACACTAGCATCTTCAGACTTGAGAATGAGCTGTAAAATGAAACTTTTTATTGGATCATGTTTACTATTCAACGTGTGGCTGTGATGTAGGGAACATGTCCCATTTATCGACTCAGGTCAGAGATCCCAATTCATCTTTATTTCCATAACAAGCTTCACGCACGTCAACTGTGCTCATCTGGGTGAAGAGTGTAGCTCTTCAGAATGGCTTACCCAATGTTTATCATTCAAACTAACATTCTTCTTGAGTCACGAGTCCGCCGGGGAGCAAGTCTAGAAGTAGAAATTCATTCCACCGGCTTTTGATGGAGTCGGCCACCCGCTCATCATGCCGGGCCAATCACACACTTAATGACCAAGCCCGCGTTCATCCCTCCGGCCAACCACGGCACGGCGCCAGCGCGGCATAAGACTCCACTTTCCGCCCCGGTCATCGGCGCCGAATGGTGCGACTGCGGTCCGCTATTACAGCCTACAGCATTCGTGAGAGTTGGAACCAGCAACGCGAAGCGCCCCTACGTAACGCAAGGCACAGAACCTTAGAAGGCACTACGATTAGCCCACGTGGAAGACCGTCCGGTGTCGTGATTACTCTACTCTGGTAGCTCATTAGGCACTTCAGATCAGTTCCGTCGCCCGTCCAAGGTAAGGCAGGTTCATCTGAGTCATTTCTAGACACAAGGCTTGACAGACTTTCCCATTCACTCCGCCGACTGCCCACCCACACCAAACCAGGAAACTTTCCCGAGAACGGGGGGAGGGACGCATTACGTAGCTCACTTTCCACAACGGAGCACTCTCACTTGCTAGACCTTTTTATATATAATTGGATCGTGAACCATCCGACATCTGTTCAGAAACTGTTTTTTCTTCGCCTTCGTTAAGAAATCTAGAAGTTCAATTAGATCACATCAACTTTTTTTCTGTTTTCAATAGAATCAAAGACATTGTGCAACAAGATACACGACATATTCTACCCCGCCACCCCGTCACCCCGCCATCTCATCACCATAGACACATTCCCTCATCTAACTATACCTAGACGAGCACACATTTTTTCAAGATGCCCGTCCAAATCCACCTCGTCCGCCACGCCCAAGGCTTCCACAACCTCTCCCTCGAAAACGAAGCCCTCCGCGACCCCCTCCTAACAGAAAAGGGCAAACAGCAGTGCGCCGACCTCCGCGCCGCCTTCCCCCACCACGACCGCATCACCCACCTCGTCGCCAGCCCCCTCCGCCGGACCCTCTACACCTGTCTCCTAGGCTTCGGTTCCGACGACGCCAACAAGTCTTCCTCTCCTCCCCTGAAAGTCCTCGCTCTGCCCGAGGTCCAAGAAGTCTCCGACGCCCCCTGCGACACCGGATCCGCGATCAAGGATATCGAAGCGGAATTCGCCGGCCGCGTGGATTTCAGCAGGGTGCCCGAGGACTGGATCGGCAAGGCCGGTCCGGATTCGAGGTGGGAGCCGACGCTGGAGAAGCTGGAGACGAGGTCTGCTGAGGCGAGACGGGCGTTGAGGGAGCTTGTGGGCGGGAATGTGCAGGGGGACGCGCAGGTCGTGGTTGTCACGCACGGTGGGATTTTGCACTTTTTGACGGATGATTGGTACGGGATTGCTCCCAAGAAAGGTACGTTTTCTCCCTTCCGGTTTTTTTTGAGACTCTTGTTTCTTCTTTGAATACCTTCTACGACTCCCAAATGACATGGGTTGAGTGAGACGGAAGCCGTGACTGACTATGTGCGTACGTAGCAACTGGCTGGGAAAACACAGAGTACAGATCATACGAATTCGCCGACGCCACGGGCCAGGACCCCAAGGCCCTCCTTAAGGAGACGCAGGAGAGCTGGCAGCGTCGCAAGGGCGAGGATACCCGCCCGACGCCGGAACAGCAGGCCGAGCTCCGTCAGACCTTCTACCGTGAGATGGAGCCGTATCTCAAGTACAGCCCCGAGAGAGGTTGGATGCAGTAAGTGAGTGGCAAGACGGGCAAGCACTAGACGGTTGTTACATCCGGGAGGACATAAATGGTGGTCTCGACATTGCGTGGGGGGCCTCTCTATTTGCATAGTACACAGCTTGGTATAATCCCAAACACCATAGACCTATCTAGAACCCTTTTTTACCATTTTTATAAACTTTTAAAAGTCTTCCTCGCCAGACCCAGCGACAATGACGTTGTTGACCTTCAGGACCATACGGCATAATTGCGTCGCGAGCTGGAGTTGCTGCTTCTTGCTGATAAGGGGGTCGATGACAAACGCATCCTTCATGTCGTTGCTGCCGCGCTGCATGCAGTCGACACCGAGCTTGCCACGGACTCCAGGGCCGGCCTTGACCTGCTGACTCTTGATGTCGGCCAGTGTCGCGATGGGGTTCAGACCGCTGTTCTCGGCCAGAGCCATCGGAACAGCGTCGAGGGCCTCGGCAAATCCGCGCATGGCGTATTGCTCAAGGCCAGGGGTCTTGGCGGCGGCGTCCTCGACTGCCAATGAGCAGGCAATCTCGGCAGCACCACCACCGTAGACCACGCGGTTGTCCTTGACAAGGTTGCGCACGACACACAGGGCATCATGAAGGGAGCGCTTCGCCTCGTCGATGATCTGGCAAGCGGGATTAGTTTTAGGGGCAATCTCAAGTATTTCGTCAAAAACTCACCATCTTGTTGCTACCGCGCACAAAGACGGTCACCGCACGGGTGTTGGCGCACTCCTCGATGACCAGCATCTTCTCTCTTGTTGTGCCAAAAGTCATTTCTCTGACGATACCTGCGGTTCCGAGCTTCTCGGGCTTGAGGTCCTCGAATCGCGGCACGATACGACCATTTGTCGCAATAGCCACCAACTCAATCTCCGGTCCTCCAACCCACCGCACGGCAGGCAGACCGTTCTGGAGCAGGAGGTGGTTCGCCTCATCGTCGAAACCCCACTGGCAGAGAGCCAGGTTGGCACCGGCGTCCTTGATCTGTTGAATCATCTCGATAAACTTCTCACGTTCGTAGCTCTGCAACTTCTTGTACTCCTCGACGCTGGTGATGTCGAGTTTGTGCTTAGTCTTGGGCTTGGGGGGCTCGAAGGCGCAGGTAAGAATGGCAATCTTGGCGTCCTTGACCTCGGAAGGCATCTGGGGGTGGGAGAAATCCTTGTCGATAATGACACCCTTGACGAGCATGGTGTCTTCCAAAGCTCCTCCGACCTTGCCATCGACCTTGATCAGCTCAAAGTCAACGTCCCTCCGATCCAGGTCGGCAACGGAGAGGACAGCGTCCACTGCGATCTGAGAGAACTGGTCGTGCGCCTTGGAGACAATCTTGCTGCCCAAACTTGTCCGCGCGACCTTGAGCAGGTTTCCTGTCTCTCCTTTGCTGAATTCGATGACATCTGAAATCTTGTCGAGCTCCGCCACGGCGATGTCGCAAGCTTGGTCGTATCCGTCCGCAATGCGGATGGGGTGGATTCCCTTGTCGATCAGCTCTGCTGCCTGCTCAAGGAGAGCTCCGGCGAGCACAACGACACCGGTTGTACCATCACCAATCTCGTCATCTTGCGACTTTGAAAGCTCCACCAACAGCTTGGCGACGTGGTTTGAGATCTCCATCTGTTGCAGAATCGTGGCGCCGTCGTTCGTCACTGTGATATCTCCATCGGGGGAGATGAGGATCTTGTCGAGGCCGCGGGGACCCAGAGAGGTCTTGACGATGTTCGCGACCGTTCTGGCGGCGAGGATGTGGTTCTTGACGGCTTCGTTGCCGTATTGTCTCTTCTTCTTTCCTTGGCTGCGGGGCGATCAGTCTCAGGGCTCCTTATCAGGGGTTCATGGAAAGAGAGGGCGAGCTTACTCTCTGACAACGATGAAGGGACGGCCCTGCTCGTCCTTCATCACGGCCGCTAGAGTATCATTCCGTCAGTATGTGCAGTCTCGAAGCTCGGATCGTGCGTGGTATTGCGTACCATTGGCCATATCAAGGTCTAGACATGATGTTAGCTGCATGCAACTATGAAATTTAAAAGGATGGGTAACACATACTCATAGCCATGTTGAAGGTTTTCGCACGTCGCTGGGGGTTCGGATAGGTAGTGCGATTCAACTGGGAGTGACGCCGGGGGAGGAGAGGTATCGTGCGTTGAGGGGGGTTGAGCTCCAAGGACCGGGTCGTGGTGGACCAAAATTTCTGAATAATTGGTGGTGCCTGCCATTCTGGGGGACCAGAAGCTTCGGTTGCCGGGGTGCAGATAATCCGGAGGCTCACCGCCTGGCAAGGCCTGGAAGGCAGCAGAAGTACCCCGCCATGGACGTGGTTGCCCCTCCATGGCTATTGCTATGGCCATGACCCAAGCGCCGCAAGCGCCCCACACATGCCACTTTCACGCCAGGACCAAAGTCAAGTCCACAGCGTCATCTCCGAAAAGCTGCAAATCCGGTTGTTAAAGAGCTTCGATCCCCCAATACCTATCGAGTGAGTGAATCACATCTCACGCACATCTCACTCTTCGACTATTAAGCCTTGGTCCTCTACGACACCCCTCTCACCACTTCATCCACCAACAACATCAAACTCACCTACCTCAACTACGTCAAGATGTCGCGCCACCAGGCAGTTCGCAACCTTGATTATGAGGAGGCCCTCGACGAATTCGAGGGCGAGGATTACGAAGAGGAGGGAGAGGCTGAGCAGCTCAGCGCAGAGGATCGTGAGGCCATGGCAATAGGAATTGCGACAGTTCAGAGTACTCTTGGCCCTGATGCCGACAAAGTGACTGTGCAGCAAATCCAAGAGTCGCTGTGGCACTACTATTACGACACCGAGAAGACGGTGTCTTATCTACAGAAGAAATTCATCGCACCTCCACCAGCGCCCAAGCAGGAGAAGAAGGTGGTCAAGGATGGTAAGTTCATTTTCTTTTTAAGCTATGTGAGGTCAGGTTTCCCGGAGGGGTGGCGGCAGTACCAGAAGTTGAGCGTTTCGGTAGCAGACGGGTTTGGTTGCGGAAGCATGGACGACAAGACTACGACTTACGACATGGTATCAACTTCGACATATCCAGTTCCTAGGGTGCCACTCTCCCCTGCTTCTTACTTTCACGGTATCCCATGGATGAACGCTCCCAAGAGCCGACAGACCGTCTTTGTCCCCCCTCGTTCCCTTCCCGGGGGGCTTCTGGGCGGCGGCGATGGGCCCAAGCTTTCAAAACTCCAGGCTCTTGCTGCAGCACGGAAGAAGAAGACGACCGAGGTGAACAAGACAGACGACAAGGTTGATCGAGCTGAGAAGAGGATGTCAACTCTTGCCATTGACGAATCGTCCAAGGAGAATCAGAGAGGCGGGTTGAGCATGCTAGCCAAGCGACAAAAGTTGGCAGAGGACCCCGCCGCAAGGACTCAGACCTCAAAACCGGTCTCACCACCGCAGCAGGCCGACGCAACTTCTGAAGCAGTCAGTATGGATGTCGACACAGCCAAGGAACTTTCTACCGAGGATCGTGAGAAGGCTGAGGATGACTGCTTCGTGGTGCCATCTTCAAGACCGTCTGCCTTTGCTCAGACACTGTTCGGACCTGCTCAAGATGCTGCCGCCGCCTCTCAGACGTACTCCTTGCCGTACATGGACTCTTCAACCTATGTGCCCAGCGCTTTCTCCCAACCAAGCCCCGACGATGTCGTGCTCGCTGCTCAGGCGAAAGGTTCGCGATTCGCGAAGACACAGTAAGATGCTGACTCTAATACTCTCTAGCGGGCTCCAAGTTCGACGCTGCCGCGAAGAGCGCAAGCAAAAAAGTGGTGGCCAAATCATCTGGCTCACAAACCCCAAATTCTGAGATGAAACAACTTCAACTCGACGATTTAGCAGCACCAAAGAATAAAAAGCTGGATGTTGTGAAAGAATTCGCAAAGAGCGAGAACAAGAGAAGTGCCAGCTTTGTGGTGGTCGGTAAGTGGATCAGCACCTTTCTTTTCCCCTATGCTCCTCTAACACTCAATAGGACACGTGGATGCTGGCAAGAGCACATTGATGGGTAGATTGCTCCTGGAGTTGAAGTACATTGAGCAACACCTGATCGACCGTTATCGACGCCAGGGTGAGAAGATTGGAAAATCGTCATTCGCCCTTGCCTGGGTGATGGATCAGCGAGAGGAGGAGCGTGAGCGTGGTGTTACCATCGATATCGCCACAAATATGTTCGAGACCGAAAAGACGCGGTTTACGATTCTTGACGCCCCTGGTCATCGGGACTTTGTCCCCAACATGATTGCTGGAGCAAGTCAGGCAGACTTTGCCATTCTCGTCATTGACGCCAACACCGGAGCTTTCGAGAAGGGCTTGAAGGGCCAGACAAGAGAGCATGCTCTACTCCTGAGGAGTCTGGGCGTCCAGCGGGTCATCGTAGCTGTGAATAAGCTAGACATGGTCGGATGGTCAAAGGATCGCTTTGATGAGATCTCGGAGCAGGTCACTGGCTTCATGAAAGGCAACGGCTTCCAGCTCAAGAACGTCACCTTCGTACCCATATCCGGACTCAGCGGCGCCAATCTGGTGGAGAAGCCAGACGATGAGGGTCTGTCATGGTACACAGGTCCGACACTCATCGAAGCATTGGAAGACTCGGATCCGATGGCGAGAGCGATAGAGAGGCCTTTCCGAATGTCCATCTCGGAAATCTACAGATCGCAGCAAAGTCAACTCACTGTAGCTGGCCGGATAGAATCGGGCACGGTACAAAACGGCGAGGCATTGATTGTGCAACCCAGCGGAGAGTCCGCCTCAATACGATCGATTGAGGTAGACGCTGATGTACAAGAATGGGCCGTTGCGGGACAGAACGTCAATATCGGCCTGTACGGCATCGACCCGATCCACGTACGCGTGGGCGATATCATCAGCACCAAGGCGGCCCCTATCGAGACGAGCGATAGGCTGACAATGAAGGTGCTGGCCTTTGACCACTTGATGCCGATGCCAGTGGACGTCCACCGT